TTATTTATGGAGGTTTTGCCATTGAGAAATACTACTTAAAAACTTTAAAGCTATAAATTTTTTTTTTTTTAAAGATTTTATTTATTTATTTGACAGAGAGAGACATAGAGAGGGAACACAAGCAGGGGGAGTGGGGGAGGGAGAAGCAGGTCCCCCACTGAGCAGGGAGCCCGATGTGGGGCTCAATCCCAGCACCCTGGGACCATGACCTGAGCCGAAGGTAGACGCTTAATGACTGAGCCACCCAGGAGCCCCTAAAGCTGTAAATGTTTTTTGATTCCTTTCTGATTGTCATGCTACAGAGTGCTTCACTCAAGATTATGTGAATATTTACTCATTTTAGGATTTTAATGGAAGTTAAAATTTTTTACTTAAATTCTTAATTTATTGGTGATATATTTTCATAAGATATGTCCTAACCATTCTAACCCCCTTTCTAAGATCACTCTTTCTTGTCCAATGTATGTCACCTTTCTTTCCTTAATTTATATGTATGTTCTTGATCCTACAACACTTAATAATTATTATGATTTTGTAAAGTAATTCATTTTTTCATTTAGCAGGATCTTCCTCATTGTACTTCCCTCTAAAGTTCCTTGGATATTCTGGAATCCTTCTTTCCCCTAAAATTCTCAGAGCCCACTCCATTGAGATGTAGAAATGTGAATTTGTGGCTTACTCCAAGCAGACTGGACCTCTTCAAGATATCGGCCTCCCCTTTTCCCCCAGCAGAATAGATACTTCTTTCCACTTGGCCAAATCTTTGCTCACTTCCCCAGAGTAGCTTCTTCCAATAATGCAGAGTTATTTTGATAGCCTGTTTCCGCTTCCTGCCAGCTTACCTAATTGGGCACCAGTTTCACCAGTTTCACTTAGCAAGATAGGGAAGAGACCATCCCTTGGATCCCTGAATATGTGATTTTTAGAAGTGTTCTCTCCTTTGGGATAGATATGGATTTAATACGAATGGCTTTTCCTGCCTGGGTTCAGCTGTTTGGGACCTGGAAAAGACCCCTTATTTGGGAGGATTCTAGACAAAGAAGAGTGGGGGCATATGTTGTTAGCGATCTTAGTCTGTATCTAGGCTCAGGGCACTTGGAGTGCTCCTCTCCAGCCCCTGTCCATCAGAATGGGCCAGCTCTTCCCTGGGTCACTGTCCTTCCAAGCCTTTTCAGTAGTCTGGACTCATCACTGTTTGTTTCCCACCAAGTCACATTCAGAGGAGTGCGAGATCCAATTACCATTAGCTCAGCTGCTTTATCTTTGTTCAGAAGACAAGCTTAATAAATCGCAGCATTCTTCTGGCTAGTTCTTGCTGACTATTACAAGCCTATCTTTGATGAAATGAAAGTATATTCAATATATTCAGTATTTGTATTCTAAACATATCTATTATGAATCCTATCCTTCTTTTTCCAAGGGGAGAAAAACATAACAATATTCTTTAGGAAAATTCTCATGCATTAGGCTGGTACAGTCTTCATCTTTCCCTCCCATTTCAAGGTTAGATAACCTCAAACAACCTAAGACATTTGAATTTCAGTCAGTCAAGCTTCATCCATGTTCTTTTTAAATGTAGATTCTACATATTCCTATTAACTCTATTTTAAAATAGTTTGTGTTTTCTCAGTCTTCTTGGGATTGTTTATTACATTTCTAACCAGTTGCCCATATTTTCTCTTGTACTTTCCACAAGAAAACTACAGAAGATTACATGGGAAGCTTTTTTAAATTCATAGGCTTGTGGTCCTTTCCTCAGTGATTCAGCTAAGTCTGGGAATGGGGACAAGGGGGGCCCGTCGTCCAGTGTGTTTGTGTGACTCATCCGAAGCCTCCCATCCCCACTTCAGTTGAAATTCTCTGGATGATAATTTCCACATACTGGTAGGCAGCTGCAGGGTACATCCTTCTCTTATCTGACTTAATGCCTCACTTTCAACTCAGTGCCTCAGTTTCGCTTTTCAGGATGTGTGCCCTGAAGAGCTAACTTAGCAAGTGTGGGGTGTTCAAGCCCTACATGCTACAAAGAGACTGGCCCTTGACCTTCTTCTGGGAGATAATTTCTGAGCCTCTATACTATCCTTTCTGATAAGAGAGTCTGTATACAGGGGGCCTTGAGCCGTGCCAGATACTTTATGCTAACAATGTGAATTTTGGTGGGGGCCTTGGACTATAGCTTATTGGCTTGACCTCTGGAGGGGCTGGAGACTGAGCAACTAAGGTTAGCTCACAGACACATGGCCATGCCCATGTGACTGATCCCTAATGCCACTCTTGACACCAGTGCTCCAGGGAGCTTCCCTGGCTGGCAGCACATCCTGTGTGCTGTCTGCAGTGTTGCTTGGAGGCTGAGCTCTGTCCACCCACCTCCATTGGGCAAGGACAACTGGCTTCTTGCTCCTGGTCCTGCCTGGACTCTGCCCTAAGCGCCTTTCATCTACGCTGGTTTTCACTGTAACACACCATAATTGTTAGCGTAACACCTTTTCTGTGAGTCTTTCTAGCAAACCATTAAACCTGAAGGTCGTCTTGGGTGCCCCCAACTTAGGATGTAAGAGCTTTTGATTGTACAAGACTCCTCGAGAAAGGAATAATGATTTCTCTCTAATATGCTGAGTTCCTTTTTTAAAAAGAGTTCATTATATGTTAAAAAAAAAAAAAAGATGATAGTAGGAAGGGAAAAATGAAGGGGGAGAAAGCAGAGGGGGAGACGAACCATAAGAGACTATGGACTCTGAGAAACAAACTGAGGGTTCTGGAGGGGAGGGAGATAGAGGGATGGGTTAGCCCGGTGATAGGTGTTGAGGAGGACACGTATTGCATGGAGCACTGGGTGTTATACGCAAACAATGAATCATGGAACACTACATCTAAAACTAATGATGTAACGTATGGGGATTAACATAACATAATAAAATAAAATTTAAAAAAAGAGTTCAAACTGGATGTTAAATTTTATGAATACACTTTTATCACCTCTAAAGGTATTTCCTTCAATTTTGTTTTATTCAGATGATAAAACGTATTGTTTTTCTAAATTTGATTTTTTTTCATTCCTGAAATTACTGATGCTTAGGTTGTGCTGTATTTTTTTTTAACATACCGTTCTCTTTGATTTATTAACATTTATGATTTTATTATGAATGATTGGCATTTTGACTTTCATCTTTGTCATACCTGGGCAAAACTTTTAATTGCTATAATTTAAAAATATTTTATAAGAAATCTTTCTAAAATATGGTACTTCCTGCCTCCTTGAACAGAGCACTCTACCCAATTTAACATTTTCTTTACTCACTACCCCCATTTTGAGCAATATGATGTGTAATGGGCCCTCTGGTCCCATTGAGGTATGAGCAGCTGCTGCTTCTACATTAAATACTCCCCAGACTTCTCTCTGGAGTTCTTGAGTTTGCTTTTTTTTTTTTTTTTTCCTATGCCTTCAAGTCCCACTTCTTTCTGTAATAGTCCCTCTCTTACCTTTACTTGGCTCCTTTTTAATGGCTGTGGGATTAGAGGCTGCATAATTAAGCTTGTTATATAATGATTTCCAAAATGAGAGTAAATAGACTCTGAGTAAGAGCCTGGGGCCCTATTCTCCAGATGAAAAACATCCGCTTCATGTCATGGATTTTTAAATATACATTTTGGGTTTGGGGAGATAGTTTACTCCCTTTTTAATTGTTGGTTGTTCCAGAGAGTAGAGTCATAAAGTTAATTGGTTTGTTTGTTCAACTGTTCATATGTCCATCCATTTCTCCAACTGTCTGTCCATCCCTTCACCTGACACTTATTTCTTGAACTCCTCCACGGTGCTGTAGACCAGATAGCTGAACTTGAGTAGGTAAGACGCAGTCTGCAAACCAGCGTCTGCCTCACAAATAACATGGGGGCGCAGTCTGAACTGTGCTGTGGAAATTTTCAGTTAATAAAGAACTTTTACTCATTGGGGCACCTGGGTGGCTCGGTCGTTGGGCATCTGCCTTCGGCTCGGGTCATGGCCCCGCATTGGGCTCCTGCCCTCTCCCACCCCCCCTGCTTGTGTTCCCTCTCTCACTGTGTCTCTCTCTGTCAAATAAATAAATAAAATCTTTTAAAAAAAAAGAACTTTTATTCTTTTATTTTTTAGTGTTATTCTCTCTGGTAGTAATTTTCATTTCAGATTTTAAAGTTTTCGTAAGAAGAATACTGTGCAGAAAAGAGTTAACATAGCAGGTCTGCGACTGTTCCCCTTAGAAAGGCCGGCTTGCGGGGTGATAGGCTGGCCCTTGGCAGGCTGGCGTCTTAGAAATTGGTGCTCATAGTGTTTCCAGTCACTATTTAACTGCTGGGTGTAGTTCGGGCTGCCTGGCCTATTGTGCAGACAGCAGGGTTTACGCTGAATGTCTGCTTTCCTCCTGGGAGGGGTTTTGATTCTTGTTAGAGGTTGCTGATGTGTCCAGCCCCCAGTAAAAACCTTGGTCACTTGAGTCTCTTAGGGGCAGAAATATCCCCCCATGTGTTACATTTTTGTTGCTGGGGAAAAGATTGTTCTCTGACCTCTAATGGGAGGAGGAGAGCATAAGGATGTGCACAGAGTCTCCACCTGTGTCCATCTCCCTTAGGATTCATCTGTATGTTCCAACCATGTAGCTCTACTGAGTATCTATCACGAGCACATCTCTGAACTTGAGGGTGCTCTTGGGGACCCTGCCACAAATGCCTAATTTTTATTGGTCTCTTACTATGCATGCAGCCCAGTACTAATCCTTTTACTGGATTGTCTCATTGGATCTTCCCCCAAACAGATCTCTGTGAGGCAGGTCAGTGTCCTCACCCCCCGCTGCCAAGTGAAGCTCTTGGAAGTTCCATGAGGTTAAGTGTCCTGTGCAGGTCCTATAGCTCATACGTTTATTTCGGTGTCTTTATGTTTGCACCTTACGGTGTATTGCTTCCGTTGTTCAGAGGAGAGGTTAAGCGAAGAAAACCACTGAGTCCTTTTTTCATCACTATCATCGCAGGTATGAGCACATCCTCACAGAGCCAGACCCAGTCCCAGCATACGCTCTGAAACTGCTAGTAGCCATGACGGAACACAACCCGGCTTTCACCAGGTACTATAACTCCAGCTTTATTTTTCTTGTTTTTCATCTACAGAATGAATTTCATATGTTCTAAAAATGTTAAAGATGATGAGATTCTGAAAGATTAACAATTGAATTACCGAAGTGGTCATTTCTCAAGTTTGAGGGTTTATGGTATCTCACGTTTATGCGGTTTTGGTCTCATTCTCATATTTTTATCCCTTATTGGATTTGTATACTCTGGAATTCATGATGCTTTAAAATGATAAATTCTTGGGGCACCTGGGTGGACTTCGGCTCAGGTCATGATCGCAGGGCCCTGGGATCGAGTCCTGCATCAGGCTCCCTGCTCGGTGGGGAGGCTGCTTCTCCCTTTGCCTGCCACTCCCCCTGCTTGTGCCCCCTCTCTCTCTCTGTCAAATAAATAAATAAAATCTTTAAAAAAATTATAAATTCTTTAAAGAGAAAAAACTAACACACATTTAAAAAAATGTCAATTGGTGCTTCCTATTGTACTGAGCAGTTGTTTATTAAATCTGTCTGGTATTTATAGGCTCTTATTTTCTACCATTTTGTTAAATTGACATACTTTTATTCAGCAAGGGAGAGCTTTTGCCTCTATGGAAGGTACTACGTGTGATGATGCCGAATATTTTAGAGCTAGTTTCTAGGAGACTGGCACCTGCTTTCAGTCTGGCATGGGAGAGTTTGTCAGAGAGAGCCCAGCTCCATAGAAGGGGCGGAGAAGAGGAGGCCCTCCTTGCTCTCAGTCAAGACAGCTAGTTGTAGTTGTTAGGTGATGGCCAAGGACCTCTGGCTTGGGACACCTCTACGGTTGGTCTTTAGGAAAGAACAAAGTCACGCAGCCCCAACCACCTTGTTTTCATCTGCTCCGTTGTTCTGCCACAGAAGGTACTGCGTAGTGATGAGTCACCATCAGTGTTAGGAGTGAACAGGAAGGTCTGTTTGTAGACTCTCCATATTGGGTGAAAGGCTGAACTGCAACCTTTCTGGTGGCTGGGCCAGGGCACGGAGGTGTGCCATGACTGAGTCCCTGGGGTGCCAAGGTGCTCTCAGGCTTTGGGTCATCTGCAAGGCTGAGGGTGAATGTAGATTTCAGGCCTGTTCCCAGGCTGTGTGCAGCCTCATTCATTTCCAGAGAGTGACATATAAATACTACTTTGTACTCTCAATGTCATGTTGCAAAAGAATTTGGGGAGCATGTACCCTTGCCAATTCTAAATCCTGTGTCTCTATAGCCTTTTAAAAGTCTGACCAATGAGACTTCCAAAATCGTCACTCAAAGGTACTTTTCTCTATTCCTACATAGAAATTTCATTATAAAGAGTGTATCTGTATTAGAAGTCAAATATAAATTCATATAGTTACTTCTTTCCTGGAGTTTTAATACCAGGTACTAATACTGTATACTAATTTTATCCTTTCATTAGATGGGGCAGGTTGCGTTTACTTTTTTAATGTCGACTCTTGCTCACTCACGTGGCATGCTTTCTAAGCTCCTTCCTCTTTTTGCCAACTCTCTATGAAATTCATCTGAATTTCCTCACTTTGTGGGGAAGAACCTAGTGAAGTTTGTGACTTATATATACTCTTTTTATTTTAAAAATGAGTAAGCTTGGAAGACACTTTATTCTTTTTTTTTTTTTTTTTTTTTTACCTTTACAAGCAGAATTCAATGAACAAATTTTTAAAAGATTTATTTTTTCATGAGAGACAAACAGAGAGAAAGAGAGGCAGAGGGAGAGGGAGAAGAAGGCTCCCTACAGAGCAGGGATCCCAGGATCTCAGGATCATGACCTGTGCTGAAGGCAGATGCTTAACCGACTGAGCCACCCAGGCGTCCCCTCAATGAACTAATTTTGATAAATGTTTTTCTTTGCTTTGACAAGTAACATCTGAATATATTGTCTGTGTATTACAATCCAGCAGTAAAATCAAGAGGTCCCCTCAGCTTCCTCGTTTCCCTCCCACACTGCCATACACAGGTCTCTCTCCCAGGGATAATAGTTGTTGTTTTGGTGTGTGTCTGTCCTGAATTTTTTCTGGCTGTTAAAAGTCAGTATGCATATCAGAAATAAATGGCATTGCTTTCTGGTTGTTGATTTTAAAAAAAATCATAGATAGTACCCAATAATACATAGATGTATGTATTTTTCTGAAATTTGCCTTTTTATTTATCAAAATTATTGGGAGATTTTTTATATCAGTATTTATTCATACTCTTGGTGATACCTTTGCTAATGGATGGAAATGAGATTTCATTTTGCATTTACTTACCTACTGATAATGTTGAACCTCTTAATGTTTATTTACTATATTTAATTGTAAAAGGTGCATAGCCTTCAGTTTCAGTTCTTCTTTGAAATATCTCCTGTAGAGAAAAACTCCTATATATACAAAGATTTCCACTCAGGCAAATAATTCTTAAAATGAGAAAAATAATTTTTAAATTATAATATAGCCATAATATACAATACCGTGTAACAGATTAAATGGGCAAGATAAATTTGAATACAGAGATATCCAAATAATTTTGTTACCTGAAACTACTTATGACCCTCCCATTTAAATACCACCTTTGCTGTATATAAGGTCTCTTTCTGGATTCACTCTTCTGTTTGTTTGCTTTTCTTTCTTTCCTTTTTTAAAAATTTATTTGAGAGAGAGAGTATGCATGCAAGAGAGCACAAGCAGGGGGAGGGGCAGAGGGAGAGGGAGAAGCAGGCTATCTGCTGAACAGGGAGCCAGATGCGGGACTTGATCCCAGGACCTTGGGATCATGACCTGAGATGAAGGCAGACGCTTAACTGACTGAGCCACCCAGGTACCCTGTTTGTTTGCTTTTCTTATGGAAAAGGCAAACAGTTTTGACTGAGGCTCCAGAGGTGAAGGGCAAAGCATTAAAAGCCTATTGCCATCCACCCCACCTTCTCCCCACCCCACACCTTGAAAGGGAGGTCCTAGGCCCACAGGCTGTAGCACAACCTGTGTGCAACTTGCAAGGTCTATTCACACACCTTGACGGGAGGGATGGGGAAGGGAAAGTAATTAGACTTTGAAGTTTGTTTTTATTTCCCTAACTGGAGTTGTAAAAAAGTGTAACATTTTGGAATTGGCAATAGATTTCCATTGGGGGGGAAATATATATTTATGGACAGATAGATATAGAGATATAAAGATCCATATACATATATATATAAACAGATACAGATATGAAGATTTGTATATAATATAGATCGATATATCAAAAGATAGATACTGAGAAGTCTTGTTCCTTTTTCTACCCATTCTGTTCTTCCTTCAGCTTCCCATTATCATAAATGGCTAACCACTTTTGTTTATGTTGTGTCCTAATGCAAGCTAATGTGAATATGTATTTTCTCATTTCTCCCTTTTACACACAAGTAGCATATTATGTATGTTTCTCTGCCCCTTGATTTCTTTTTTTTTTTGCCATTTAACAGTGTATTCCCAACATTTGTTTCTGTAGCAATATATAGAGAGCTTTCCTGTTAGGCTTTATAGTTACAGAATCTTCCATTGTATGGATGATGTATCATAGTTTATCTAATTAGTGTCCAGTGGATAAACTTGAGTTCTAATCTTGCAATATTGCAATGAATAATCTTCTATATCATCTTGTATGTATGCTTGTACATCTTATGGGATACATTCCTAAACTTGGTGTTAAGGTACCAAAGGATAAATGCATTTGACAAACCTTTTTAAAGGTATGGCCAAATTGTCCTTCATGGGGATTTTACCATTTTCCACCTCCAAGGGACATGTTTGAGGATACCTGTTTCCCTGCAGCTTTGCCATCAGAATGTGTCATTAAACTGGAATTTTTCCAGTGTGATGCAATAGGTTATTTCAGAGTAGTTTTAATTCACATTTCTCTCATCATGAGTGTGGTTGAATATCTTTATTGTTGGGGCATTTGTATTTTTTTGCTCATGCTCTTTGCCAACAGTTTCTTTGTCTTGGCGATGCCCCTCCTCAAACTGAATTACCTCCTGCCTGGCTTTCCATTGCACACGTACACCGTAGTCTGCTAATCCATTTTACTTTGAACAACTTTCCAATTTTTTGCTGTCTTGAATAGTTTGGCCAGTGAGTTTTCCTTTGCATGTTCCTTGGTGAATCTATGCACATGTTGCCATTGGGCACCCATGCTGGAGTGGAATTATGAGCTCACAGAGCTGGTGCTCCCCCAGATTGAGTAGATACTGCCAAGCTGTTTTCCAGATTCATTGTACCAATTTGCATTCCTGCTGCCATTGTGTGGTTGTCATATAAGCTTTAAAAAAATTTATTTTAAGTCTGGTTTATTGAGGGACAATTTACATAGACTAGAACTCACTTATTTTGGCTATACAGTTTTCTGAGTTTTGAGAAACATGTACAATTGTGCACCACCACCTCTATCAAGATAGAATATTTCCATCACTCCAAAATGTTCTCTTGTGCCCCTTTGAATATTAGCTTATACAGACTGTTTGCTTGGAGAATAATACGACCAGATTGATTTTATATTTCATTTTAATTTTTAAGATTTATTTTTTAAGGGGTGCCTGGGTGGCTCAGTTGGTTAAGCGTCTGACTCTTGGTTTCAGCTCAGGTCATGATCTCAGGGTTGTGAGATTGAGCCCCCCTCCCCCTCCTCCATTGGGCTCCTTGCTGGGTGTGGAGCCTGCTTAAGATTCTCTCTCTCCTTCTGCCCCTCCCCCCACTTGCATGTGCGCATGCACATGTGCTCTTTCTTCCTCATATAAATAAATCTTTTTAAAAAAGAGAAAAAGATGATTTTTTAAGAGTTAATACATAACACAATACAAATTTCAGTATTTGAAAGAGTATACAGAGAAAAGCATATTTTTACCCAAGGAGAAAGCCACTCTTCTCAGTGTGTGTGCGCGCGCGCATGTGTGTGTGTGTTGTTTTTCATACAGATGGTAGTATGCTATATGCACCGTTCTGCACTTCTTTTTAAAAATACATACCATAGC